TTCCAGCCTTAATGATTTGTGACCCTCAGCAATGATCTTAAGCTGAGGGGAATAAGAGCTACGCTAGATGGGAGGGTTTAAATCCACAGGGATCTTGACAGACTTGAGGAATGGTCCCACGTGGAACTCCGGAACTTCAACAAAGAAGCCAAGTGCAAGGCCCTGACACTGCTTTGGGGCAACCTCAGAAATCAACAGGGACTGTGAGGTAGATGGAAGGAGAGCTGCCCTGCAGAGAATGGTCACACGGATGCATCACCCCTGCTCCGAAAGGCAGCTGGAGCAGTGCAGATTTTTCAGTCAGGAGAAGAGCAGGATCTGGGGTACCTTATTGCAGCCTTTCACTACATCAAGGGGTGGTGTAAGGAGGTTCGAGAAAGACATTATATCAAATGGTTGGAGAAGGGACAGGAGTTTTAAACTGGAATAGGCTAGCTGGAGCTGAGATGCTGTCCATGGCAGGAAGGTTGGACTAAATGATCTCCAACAATCTATTCCAACAAAACTCACTTTGTGATCCCATGATAACAGGGGTCTGTGAGAAAGAAGCAAAATGCTCTTCCAGAAGCCTTTCAGATCCATGGGATCTGCTGGAGTCTGATGGGAATCCAGTACGTCTGACTGGACAGTAACACATTCACTGCTGAGTACTTGTGTCACAGTGTGGAGCTGAGAAAGGAAAAGGAAAAGAAGTGCAAACAAAGTGGATGTTTGTCCCTGGAAAACGTAGGGAAATTCTACCCTGACCCAAAGAGGCAGGGAAACTCAGAACCCAGAGGGTCACTCAGTGCACACTGAGCACTCCCAGTGCCAGTCTGTGCTGACAGCCAGTGCAAAACCAGCCCCAACAACACCCTCCCAGAAACACCCCTGGGACAACAGCTCTGCCTTGGCAGAGTGTCTGCAGGGCAAAGGATGACACAGAGGCACAGGCTGGGATGCAGCAGAATTTAATGAGTCAAAAGAGGGAGAAGAGGGGGATCCAGGTGGAGGCCACAGGGCAGGGAGCAGCTTCAGCAGGGGAGGCCCCTGGTAGAGTGACAGGAGGCACCAGCACCCACAACCTGTCTCATTCTAATCCCATCATTCACCCTCTGTCTGGCTCGATCAGAGGCTGGCCATTACACAGCCACAGCTCACCTCCCCCAGTTCACCAAAGCACCCTGGTCTCCACAAACCGGGGAATGTTTTGAGTCATTATCTCTTAAGACTGCAGTGTCCCACAGTCTGCAGATGTGGGACATGTGTCTGCAATCCTCTTCACTGGCCCTGTCTACTCCAAGGATGATTTTCTCTCTCTGACCAAACCATTCTTGTCTCCGTGCTCAGCAATGCCTGTGCCTAAGTCAAATGCTCTGATCTCCTCACCATCCCGGCCACCCTGCACTCAGCTCAGTCCCCTTGCTCCTGGTGCTTCTTGCATTACAGCCTGTGCCCAATGTGGGGGTGTTGGATTATGCATTTTCTGACCCAGAGATGGGACAACTGAGAGGCATTTTTAAAAACTTTTATTCTGTTTTCAGTCTCATGAGAAGGGAGAGACAATACAGATGCTTTAATTCACACTATTATAATTAGAAGCCAACTACTTCCTAATTACAATAGATTTTCAGTGTTTCTTGGCCTATCAGCTTTTGTCACCCCAAGCTGTGAATGCTTTAATGCTAATCACCTAAAATTACCCCTGGTGGGTCTTAATACAATGCATCTTTCGTAGTTCTATTTCTCTAAAGTCTTTAGTGTTATTTGCAAAGCGACCCTTTGAAACTTGTTTCTAGTTCCATTTCTCTCTCAACAATGTCCGTCAACAGATGCCCTCTATGTGAGCCCTCAGTCAGGCTTTGAGAATTCCCTAAATTCATTTCCAACACAGGTGATGGCAGCAGGCAAGGGCCGAGCAGAGCAGCATCCACATCTCCTGGTCTCACTCCTGCCCACACAGCCCAGGGTGCTGCTGACAGCCCTGGGTGTCTGTGAGCACCAGTGACATGGACAATGGGATTTGGTGCACCCTCATGGCACTTGGTCATGTGCTGTATTGGCTGTAGTAATGATCTTTTATTAAAAATCCTTTCCTGGGATTTTTTCCCTTCTGAGAGCTGAGGACCTCAAGAAAGAAATATAAACAATAACTATCTGCTGCTGTGGAATGCAACAGGTGCATCTTCCATTGGTCCATGTGAATTGTTTTCAATTGATGACCAAACACAGCCACGTGTACCGAGGCTGTGAGCAGTCACAGGATTCTGTTATGCATTCTATTCTATTCTTATACTTTGTCACCTTCTGATCATTTTTTCTCTCTTTATATATTTTAGTATAATATATACCATAATGAATCAGCTTTCTGAGAAAATAGAGTCAAGCCTCGTATCTCCACACATGGGGTGTTCACCTCAACAATTGGCCTCTCTGTCTGGAGGCACAGGGACTCTTCCCCTCACACAAACCCCACCAAGAGCTCAAGCCCAGGGACATCCCAAACCAGCCCAAAACTGGGGCAATTCTTCTGCCAAGACCCAGCAGTCACACACCTCCCACTCCTTTCCGCCTCTCACAAGGAGCAACTGCTAGAGCTCACATGGCACAAAGTCACAGGTATGAGGAGAGAAATCCCAGAGAAGAAGCAGGAAATGGAGAAAGGGCTTCAAACTCACCTTCTTCCAAGGAGATGGAGGTGAGTGGAGTGAATGTGAGAGTGGAGAGAAGAGCCTCCTTTTATACAGCTCTTGCATTGCCCCAGGCCCACAGTCCTGCACAAGGGTGGTAATTTTTCAACAGACTCATCTTCAAAGGAAAATATCCCACATAGTGGCAGCGATTCACATTTTGTTTCCATCTACGCTGTCATATTTAATTTCCTCATTTCCAACATTCCTGCCCTGCATTGCAGGATCCTTTCATGTTCTGTGATGAGAAGCAAAGGATATCCCAGGCAGAGCCATGTCAGCAAGGGCACATGGCCCAAGTGCTGGATGAAGGCAGGGAATGTTGGTTTAGGGCAATGAAAAGCAACTCTTTGCAACACCCCTTGCAGGAAGAGTCCCTGCCTTGCACTGCACATGTCAGAGGGCATCCAAATAATCTGCTTTTTAGGGACATTTCACTTTCTTCTCTCTTTTCCCTCTCTCTCTGTTCTCTGCAAGGGTCATGAGCTGCAGCATGTCCAGGCAGCCAGGCTGTGCCAATGTTTCAGCTCTCTTCCTCATGATGCCCTTTGCTCTGGAGGGGATGTTTGCCAGGCGTTAGGAAAGCCAAAGCCCACCTGGAATTGAATCAGGCAGAGCACATGCAGGGGCAATAAGAAGGTCTTCTCCAGACAGGCCATCAGTAAAGGGAGCCTTGGACACGGGCAGCCCCAGGACTCAAGAGGCAGCTTCCCTGAGGGCAGGGGGTACAGGAAAGGTGAACATCCTCAAAGGTTCATCTTCTTGGTCTTTGCCCACCAGCAATTGCTGTCAGGAACTGAAGTTCCTGGTTCTCCTTGGAACAACTGGAACAGAAAAGACTTCCCCAAGCAGAACAGAATCCAATGGGGAAACACTGAAACACACTGGTCTGAAGTGAGTGTGTGTGAATTGATGTTATGTCCTCACTGGTACAAAGCCTTTCCCAACTCCTTTTGAAAGTCACAGCGACCACGGAATGCACCTGAGAACTGGAAGAAAGCCAGTGAGTGTCTTGTCTTCAAGAGAGGCATGAAAGAGGAGTCAGGGAATAACAGGCCAGTCAGACTTGTCTCGATATCTGGAAAGGTGATTGAGAAAATCACTACAAAATCCAACATGCAGTGCCCAGGGAGGAGCTGTGCCCAGTAAGGACCAGGATGAAAAACCAGATTTCAAACTACACCAAGGAGGGAGGCACTTCCCTGCCCTGCAGACATGGAGGCAGCTGGGCAGCGTCCCAGGAAGGCAAGAGAATGACTTCAGTAGGCAAATCTCCAGGGACAGACTCTCCTGACCCATGGCGAGTCACGCTCTAATTGTGGTGTGAGGTCAAGCCAGGAGTGCGTGATGTCTGCAGGCTTTGTGCCAGGCAGGGCTGAATTCCCTTCCAGCAAGGGCAGCTCCATCCATTACCCTGGAGAACCATCTTCAAGCACTGCGCTGAGCCCAGACCTGCAGCTCCAGGCAGCCCAAAGGCCACTGTCCTCAGCCTGGCTTGCCTGGCAGCACTGCCACAGCTCAGGGTGTTCTCAGAATCGACAATGTGCGGCAGGACTTTGTGTGCCCTCCAGGTCAGGCTGCCAAGGGTGCAGCCAAAGTGCATCATGGGGTGAAGAGAGGGGGAAGAGAAGGCACTGTCCCAAGAGTGAACACATCCCTCAGGCAGTAAGGAAGTACAGAACTCCACACGGGTCAACTTGAGCCTTGATTCCTGCCCATGCTATGGTGTTCCAGCACACAAAATCCTTGTACGGCTCACCCCATGACATGGTAGAAGCCTCCATGACTTAGTGGGAATGTCAGAAATGGGGAAATGAAATGGCAAAATAGATGAAAACCAAACCACAATCTGTGCCATTGGGTAGAATGTTTTGCTTTGAGATGACTCTCTAGGAAAATTACTGTCCTTGTGCAGTGACTGTGGGCCTGGGGCGGTGCAGGAGCAGTATAAAAGCAGGACCTTCTCCTCACGCTCTCATCCACTCCTCTCACCTCCATCTCCTTGAGAACAAGGTGAGTCTGGAGCTTTTTCTCATCCTTCTCCTCTCCCCATGGGATTTCTCAGTCTATACATGCTTTTTTGTCCTTTATGGATTCTTGCCATGGGTGAGGGTAGGAGGCAGAAGGTGTAACATGGGGAAAGGCTGGGGCTTGTCTGAGGTGTTTCCAGAGCTATGGACCAGACTGGGATCTGCCTTGGGTAGCTCTTGGCAGGGCTCTTCTGAGGAAAGGAGAAGGGGAATGGATCTCTCTATGCAGCCCCTGGGCTTGTCTCCAGTTCATGCCTTTGGTCCCTCATGGTGGGGTGACAGGCTGATCCTCACCCAATCCTTGGGCTCTGCTTCCCCCTTCCCTGTCTCTCAGGTGCATCTGCAGCCCCCAGCCATGTCCTGCTACAGCCCGTGCCGGCCCTGCCAGCCCTGCGGCCCCACCCCGCTGGCCAACAGCTGCAATGAGCCCTGTGTCAGGCAGTGCCAGGACTCCCCCGTGGCCATCCAGCCGTCAGCCGTGGTGGTGACCCTGCCCGGGCCCATCCTCAGCTCCTTCCCACAGAACACCGCCGTGGGATCCTCCACCTCTGCTGCTGTTGGCAGCATCCTCAGCTCTCAGGGAGTGCCCATCAGCTCTGGGGGCTTTGGCCTCTCTGGCCTGGGCAGTGGCCTCTGTGGCACCAGGGGCCTCCCCTGCTGAAGCTGCTGGCGCTGGCCCTGGCGAAGGAACCCAGGGACTCCCAGGATGGAACCGCCCTGGGCACGCAGCATCGGCTCCTTCCTTCCTGAGGGGCTGAGCAAGCCCAGCAGCCCTTGCACAGGGACAGGGCCAGCCTGGCCTCTTGGGAAGCACAGCCCATCCCTGCCTCTGTCCCCTGACACTCTCTCCTTTCCCTCCTGTGTCCTTGCTCCCTTGTGCTCCCCGGGGCTGTGATCCCCACACAGCCATCCTGGGGAGCACCTGCTGGCCCTGCTCCCTCTCTGGATCATGCAGGTGGACACCTGCTGGAATCTGTGCCACAGCCATGGGACACAAACTCTCACCTGTCCCTGCTGCTTCCTGCACTGGATTACTTTTTTAGATTTACCTGTTTATCTCGTCTGGCACATTAAATTTCTGTTGCATCCCAGCCCATGCCTCTGTGTCATCCTTTCCCCTACAGGTATGATCTCAAGATGCCAAAGCAGAGCAGTGTTGACCAGGGTGTTTCCGGGAGGGTATTGCAGGGATGTTTGAGCAGTGATTGCTCACACAATGATTGTTGCCTATCCTGCCTCTGTGGTCTCTCCAGACACACACAGTCAGGAGGAAGGGTTTTCCTCTGGGAAGGTTTTGGCTGCATGAAGCATATGGGGAGCCTTCCTTATCCCCAGTAGGAAGGATGGAACAGTGTACTGAGCCCTTTTCAGCCTTTGCAAACATGTAAAACACCACTGCAGATCACGTCTGAAGGGAGACACAATCCTTTGGCAGATTTAGTCCGTCTTAGGCTTCTGGAAGCAGTTTTCTACATATTTTTGCAGACAGGACTGGAAGAGGCAAGCTTCTCTCTGCTTGAAAATGTCTTTTATCATATTTCCACTCAAGAGAAACCTACACTGCTCTCCTGGTGTACAGTTGGGATTCTATAAACACACTATCTCTTGTAGCTTAAAATGATTCTGCTCTTGCTGCTACCAGGGAGCACTGGTAAACCTTCAGTCACCTGCTGGAATTAAATTAGGCAACTTTATAAAAAAAATTAGGCAAAATTAGAAAAGTCTTGACCTGTAACTCCTAACTAGAACAGTGGGAAACCTTCTAGTGTATCTTCTTCAGGAAATCAGGGGATTGAAGGTCAGTGCCTTTGCTCCCATGTGTATGAGACTCCTCATTTGAAGTCAGTTCCAAAAGAGGGTGATTGCCCCGAGGAGAAGGGGGCTGTGAGTGTGGATTGTCCAGGGAGGAGAAGAAACAACTGGAACATAAGTCTGATGGGAAGCTGGGGGAGCTGGGGGTGCTAAGCCTGGAGAAAAGGAGGCTTGGAAGGACCTTCTCACTCTCCACAACTCCGTGACAGGAGGGTGCAGCCAGGTGGGGCTCAGACTCTGCTCCAGGGGAACAAGGGATAAAGTGGGTTAAAACAGCTTGAAGTTGTGCCAGGAGGGGTTTAGGTTGGCTAGTCAGGAAAAATTCTTCACTGAAAGGGTGGTAAGACATTGGAACAGGCTCAGTGTTGATGTGGTACTTGGGGACCTTGGCACTGCTGAGGGAATAGTTGGACCTGATGATCTCAGAGGGATTTTCCAGCCTTGATGATAGTGCAGTTCTATGAAGCAGAGGCAGAATAATGGGCCCAAGCCTTGGTTTCCCAAAGCAGAGTCTCATGCATCAGAATTATAAAAGCAAATAATTGAATAGAGCAGTGCACAGCAGGTGAGCTCAAGCTGGTGCAAAGAAATCCCCAGGCAATGATGTTCCTGTGACTTGGGCAATTGCTCCCTACATGTGCTTGCACACACTCCTTGGTCCAAGTTTTGGTCTGGGGTCTTCTAACACCTTGCTAATTTTTTTCTCCAAGTCAGTGCAGGGAGACATTCTGAGCTGACAGGGGTGCAGCTTCTGCTGCTCTGGCTTCAGGTGCACCAGGGCACTAAAACAGCCCCAGACACAGGATAAACACGACTGAGCACCCAAACCATCAGTGTGTTACTGTTGCAAAATGTGGAATATGTTAAATTTTCTTAAGAAATTATGTTCTTTGATGTGTGGTCTTTGTATACTTTCAAGACTACTGGACAAGAAGAGAGATTTAATCTGTGAAATAGAGAGAAGCCAGCAAACTGTAAGTCACATCCAGGTGTTAGAAAGACAACTTTTTCCTGGATTTGCCTTGTTAAGGTTTAGGCTGGACATGCTTCATTCATCTCAGAGGTAGGGAGAGGTCAACAAACCTTGTGAAGGAGGACAAAACACTATACTGGGCACCAGGAATGTAGAATTTACAGCCTTCAAGGACATCTGGCAGAACTCCCAAGATATGGAAGAAATTAACAAAGCCAACTCAGCAATTGTGTTAAAATCAGCTCCAAGTGGGTAAAAAATAATTCTGTCGGGGTAGATCACAGCCACCAACACACAGACCACTGAGCCAAGAAACCCCCTGACCCAGGAGAAGATAAAGACTGAGCATGTGGACTAATTAGCATGAGAAATGAGAGAATCATTAGCCAACAGAAGACAGAATACTAATTAATAAAAGAGCTATGTTACGTGTAGCCAATGAACACTAATTCCTTTGTTTGCTAAAATGTATAAATAGTAAAAAGTTTTAATATTTGGCATGCTTGATTTGTGGAATTCCACTGAGCACCCAGGCTTGTGCAACTCTGACATAAATAATCAGTATCTCCCTCGAGTGTGTAATTATTGGCTTGTTACACACCAGTTAATCAATGCAATTCTTGTGGGTAACATTATCAGTGTTCTTCTCATACTCAAGTCAAAGCACAGCACTGTGCCAGCTACTGACAGACAGCAATTGTGCCAGCAATTACAGACAGAACCAACTCCATTCCAGCCAAAATAATTTGACTTATGTGGTGTGGTGATTGGCTCTCACAAATGAGAAATGGATATTATGTCTCTTAAAAGAAGCTTTGTTAAGGTTTAAAGTTCTTATGATGTGTGACTTTGTTGTTGTATGTTGCTTTTGGACCCCTTTTTTGTCCTCCCTTTAATCCTCTCTTCTCCCCTCTGTGTTGTTGCCAGCAGACAACCCTGTGTTATAGATACATATAATATTGGCTTTTTGCAAATATTAAAATAGATTTTATATTATTTATATATTTTTATATAAATATAAGATATTTATATTTATATAAAATAGATTTTATATAGATTTTATATCTTTACAAAGATATAGTTTTTATTTCTGTTGTTAATTAAGCTTAGACATAGTAGTGAAATAGCTGATATCAGTGTGTTTGTGTTAAAATGCCTGCTGGGATGGGATAACAGCCAGTGAACACAGGATGAGCACACCTGCACAGACCTGCCAGCCATCAGCACTCACTGTCTGAAGGCAGTGTGGACCAGGGCCCAAACACTGGAGGTGATGATAAAAAAGGACTGAAAGCACAAGCCAGAAATCCTCAGGCTCTGAAAAGGTGAATCCAATGAGCAGACATGCTAAACAATTATTGGAACATGCAAACTAGTTTGGGGGAAAACTTTACTCTGCATAATTGTTTATGAATATGCAACAGGCTGATGTAATTAAAAGGCATTTAAAGGATATCTCCAAAGATAACAGTGTGCTCTTGGCTGAATGGGCTTTTTTTACCCTTTGCTTTATTTCCTACTGTCTTTTTATTAAACTTTTTAAATTTTCACAGGAGAGTGAAGGTGTTTTTCACACCTGGGACACGTGGAAGGGGAGGAGCAGGTGCCCCTTGCACCAGGCAGCTGGGATGGGAAAGCCTGTCGCTGGGAGGACTTGGCATTGATATAAAATTTCAATAGGCAAACCAAATTTCATTTTTATATCTTTATTGTAAAGAAAGCAAGCAAGCAGTGCTGGGTGGCCGGGGAGTCACTGCTCCACTCACAGCACACGCCACTACAAGTTCACTAGAGTATATATACTGTTTTTAAACCTACAAAGCATTTTCCAGTGTGCTTGGTTAGTCCAAATCAGCAAATACCAATAATCTGGGATCAGCAATTTCATAATTTTTCCAGGTGGTCGCTGGATTCCTGTCCTTCTTATGGTCGTCTGGAGGGAGGCCTTACACTGGTGTCTGCTGCATGATTTTGTCAAGTGCATCAAGCTTTTTGTTATACATAAGCGTTATAGGTAAAAATTGATCCAGCCAATTTTTAATAAAAATAAAGAGTAAATTTATTCGTGACCGATATACAGTCCCGACAGCGAACAATCCCCGGGATCGGAGCTGGGTGAGCTCAGATCCAGTCTCTACTGCAGTGAATCCTCTCTGTTCACACATGCCGCTTGGCAGAGTCCAGCTTTTATACTCTTTTATCTTGCCTGCTCGGAGTCCCTTTGCCTTTCCTTGGAGTTCTTCATATTCATGTTGTGTCTGTTCTCTGTCCTATGCTGGACAAAGCCTTGTCAGGGAACTGGTGTGTATCTGCTCCTGGACAAAGCCTTGTCCGGGCACTGGTGTGTATCTGCTCTCCCCAATCCTGCATTCAGATGTATGTCCTTGATGGTCCTGTCTATCTGAGATGGGCATCTTCATGAGCCCTCTCCTGTGTGGGCTGGGTCCACTTCATATGTTAATGACACCTCCTCCTCAGCTGCCAGCTGAGGTTTTGCCACTCCTGGTGTGATTTTAAAGCTTTATATTTTATTCTTATATTCATATTCTATCAGCACAAATTACCACCATATCCATAACAATAAGCATTTAGTTGCTTATTAGCAATATCTCTTAGCTTTACCACAACTTCCTCTATTTTATTCTAAGCATCAGTCATCTTGCTACCTCATCTCTTTTACTCTACTATACTTCTTTTATTTCGATGCTTTATTTGGCTATTTGGTCAGAAAGTTTCAAAACCATTCTTTTCATCTATTTTTGACACAGCAGATACAAGCATTTGCTGATTCCATTGCCAATTGACACGGATCACAAAAACATTTTTCACAGCATGGCAAAACCTCACCTCCAACCATTCCCACTTGGGGTCTGAGTCATTTATAACAATTTCCAGGGTCCCAAAGCAAAAGGGACAATGCTTTAAACTTTAACAAAGCTTTTTTTAACACACATAACATCCATTCCTCATCTGCCAGAGCCAATCACCACACCACCCATCTATAATGTGAAAAATGTGTATTTTATTATTGGCTTTTTTAAAAACAAAATTAATATTATATGTGTTATGTTAGAAAGTTATGCTGTATTAATTTTCTTAAGTAGTATGTTAAATATAGTTTTATATTATAACATAATGTTAAAATAGAAACTATGCTATGTAAGATATTTTTTTTAAAAAAAGAGGACTCGCACCGAGGTAGCAGCCACAGGACACCTAAATCTTTCAGAGAAAAAGAATTTATTGCTCTCTTATCAGAAGAAACTAACTTCTTCCTGCCTCACTCAGCCTGTAAGACTAAGACTGCCCGTTAGGATTCAGAGGAAGAAGCTGACACTGACCAGACAGAATCCTTTGTTTGAATGGGATTTATGCATCCTGTATGAGGTGTATGAATATGCAACAGGCTGTTGTTTTTAAGGGTTAATCGTCTGTTAACCGGTGTCCTTTTTCAGGCTTATTTTGCCCAGAAAGAGGTAACTCTTTGTTTTTATTGTCTCATATTGTCCTAATCCTAACTGTCCAAATTTTTATTACTCTAATTATGTTGCTATTTTTATAACCATTTTATTGCTATTAAACTTTTAAAATTTTAGAAACGCGTGATTAGTGTTTTTCACATATAACACTTACGAGGCAGGGCTGAGTGAGACAGGTTTGTTTAGCCAGGAGAGGAGGCTCAGGGGGGGCTTTGTCTCTCTCTAAAAGGCTGTAGCAAGGTGGGGTCAGTTTTTTGTGCTGCAGTGAGAGCACCGGGGAATGGCCTTGAGCTGAGACAGGAGAGATTCAGATCAGATCAGAGCAGGGTGGTCAGCCTTGGAAGGGCTGCCCAGGGCGGTGGTGGAGCCACCACCCCTGGGGTGTTCAGGAGGTGCCAGGTACTGGGTGATGAGGTTTGGGGGTTCAGGGGGCACTGTGGGAGCACAGTTGGACTGGATGACCTCGATGATATCAACGTTCTCTTCCAACCTCGACAATTCTGATTCACTGTCTGGGGTCAGTTCATAACCAGCGCCTAGGGGCTGCAGCAGTCCCAGTCAAAAACCTTAGGATGAGTCTAAGCCTAGCTCATGTTATCTAAATGGGTTTATTTCGGCTGAACATTCCCCAGCCCCGCAGGGCGGTTTCAGGGTCCCGGCCTGGGCTCGGGGCCCAGCGGCGGCTCCGGGCCCGGCCGCCCTCGATGGCGCCGCGCGCGCAGCGTTGCCCCGGCAACCGTGGCTGGGCGGGAAGGGCGAGACCGGCCCGGCCCCACAGCCGACCCCACAACCAACCCCGAGGCGGATTCGAATCCACAGTCGACAGCACACCCACCCCCGCAGCCGGCCTCGAGGCGGACTCGGACCGACGGCCGACTCCACAGCCGCCCCCACAACCAGCCCCGACGCGGATTCGAACCCACAGCCGACTCCACACTCTGCCCCGGAGCGGACCCCGGCCGGCCATGGAGCTCGAGGAGGATTTGGGTGAGGCTTGAGGCTTGGCTGGGGAGGGACGGGGAAAGCGCTCGTCGGTGCGGGCAGGGCCGGGACCACACCCGCGCCGCTGGGGTCTGTTCCCCCTCGGGCCGGGCCTGTCCCCCAGCCCGGGCCACGTCTGTCCCCTGTCGGCCCGGTCCGTCCCCCTGCCCAGTGCCCGAGCCGGGCGATTCCTCTCCCGGCGATTCCAGCCCAGGTCGCCCCACCAGGTGCAGCCGGTGCGGGTGAGGTCGGCCTGCAGGATTTCACTGAAAAAAGTGACTTTGTTTGTTTGGTTCGAGCGTGGCTTCCCCCCGTGTCTCGCGGCTCAGCCGCTCCAGGCGGTTTTGGGACCCGTTTCGATGCAGTGTGTGGACAGGGGTAGGTACAAGGATCTCCCTGCGCGTGGCATTGTAGTGGTGCCTTTGGTGGTTTCAGCCGGGTATAAATTACAGCTGCTTGGCTGCCTGAGCTGCTCCTGTGCTGCTGAGGGCTCTGCTCCTCTGCTGCTCCTCTCTGTCCCCTTTCCCTTCGCTGGCAACACACTTGGTCTTGTGTGGCGCCAGTTCAGGGAGAAGCTATTGGAAAAATCTCTGACAAGTAATGTTCAGGCTTGTGAATTCCTTAAACAGACAGTGCTTAATCCTGTATTTACAGATATCAGTGATCAACATGCACTAGTGCGTATCTTAGCCGTGAGAATAAAGGCTGTGTGCCTGATAAAGAGTTTATCTTGGCCAGACCCCATAGCTGGAATGCATTCAAGGAGAAATTCCCTCAGAAGGGAGGAGAGGATGTTTGGAGGAGCATCCCCTACGAAGCCAGTGCCAAAAAAGAGTAATGCTGCTTTCTAATACTGAAATAACAGTGTTAGGGTGTTTAACTTTTCACATTTTCAGTGACAAAAGCCACCTGTGATTGCTCTTCCAGGGGCAGCTGGGCCAATGCAAAGCCAGGTGCTCTAATTCCCCCCATGGGCTGTTGGGGTGAGAGGTGCTCAGAGGCAGCAGCACTGCACAGCCCAGATGGAGACAAGGATCCTGGCTGTCCCTCCTCTTTCCAAGTGGCTCTTAGCCTGAATTCTCTTCATTGGGACTTCTGGAGCAGCATTTTAACAGCTGTCAGCCTGGGGCCTGATGGAGATGTCTGAGAGAGGAGGGCAGAGGCAGCAGCAGCCAGTGCCTAGAGCTGAGTTAGCTCCTGAATAATCAAGTCCTAAATGTGCTGAAAGCCCCTGCAGCAGGAGTGGCAGAGCAGAAAGGATGGGAGCAGCCCAGGCTGCTTGCTGTGTACCCCGCAGACAGACCCACAGGCAGTAGTGGGGCCTTGTGTCTCCTCCTGGCTGCCTCTCTTCCTCAGTGAGAAAGTGCTTATTTGTTAATATTTATATTTTAATCTATTTTATAGACAATTATGTATGCATGGATTCACAGTGCTTCATGTTCAATATGTTTGTTTGTCAGTGGTTTTGCTGCTTTAGTAATGCCTCAGCTCCTAAATAATTACATGATTAAAGGTTTATTCAGAGTTTCATGTACCATGTTGGGCACACTGCTGCCTCCAGAATGTAACTCAGTTCCATCACATTCTGCCTCCAGCAAAACAAGCTGTTGATGGAAAAAATATTTGGTTCTTTAGCTGCTGAAGGTGCTGGTGGGTGTGACATGATCCCACTGATCCTCCTCCAGGAGAGCTGGGAAGTGCTGCTGGCTTTCCCTAGGAGTAAGGGTGGTTGCCTCCCTAATAAGGTAACCTAAAGAGTTATTACACTCACTGGTGCTGACTCTCCTCTGTTTTAACTAATGTCCCAGTTATGAGAATTTCAAGTTTAATTAAATTGGTTATGCAAAACAGGTGCCTGCCTTAATGAATGGTTTCAAACTAAGAGCAAATGGTTAACTCCCTCAGACCACAGCTCTGATGTGGTGCTGTGGGGTTTTGGTGCACTGTGTGAGTGATTCTCATCTTCCTAACCAGATGTTCTTCCCTGTTCTCCTGTTCCCCCAGATGTGTTGGATCCAGAGAGGTTAATCCAGTGCCCCTTGGTTAAACACCATTGGATCAGAGCACGGCGGTTTCCCTATCACCTGGTGAAGTGTAAGGAGGTGAGCTGGACATGCAGTGACTCTGTGCTTGCCAATATTCCCTGTGTTCCTGCCTTTCCTGAATTTCATATAAGTTCAGGATTTGTTTAGTGATAGCTCCAGGCACACAGGAATTCACCCATTCACAGTCTGGCTCTCTTGGAAGGAGACAGAGATCCTTCATGGTTAGTTCAGGCAGGAGACTGGTCTCTTCCAGCAGCTCACAGGGGAGGCCATATTAATTTTTCCATTTCCACTTTCAGGATGAGGTGGGATAGTGATCATCAAGCAGATAAAGCCAGTGTCTAAGTAATTAGCAGTAGAGCTTGGGGATTGTCACTGGTCCATCTGAAGATGCCACAATGTGTTATTTCCAGTGGCAAGGGTCTGGGTGGAGATTGTTCCTCTTGCTTGGGACAAGTTTGTTGAGTTTCCTTTGCATCCCTTAAACATAAAATCCAATTAACATTTCCATCCAGCTCAGTCTCCTGTTGCTCTGTGCAGAACAGAGCCTGCAAGCAGAGAAAGTTGGATCTTCTTGGCTGGAACTGTTTAAGAATCATGGAATCACAGGATGGTTTGGGTTGGAAGGGACCTAAAGCCACCCCTGCCATGTGCAGGGACACCTTCCACTGCCCCAGGTTGCTCCAAGCCCCATCCAGCCTGGCCTTGGACACCTCCAGAGATCCAGGGGCAGCCACAGCTGCTCTGGGTAACTTGTGCCACAGCCTGCTCACCCTCACAGGGAGGAATTCCTTCCCAGTATCCCATCTAACCCTGCCCCCTGGCAGTGGGAAGCCACTTGCTGGTGCCAGGTGACAGCAGCAATGGACACCTATGGACATAGCAGCCCTGGCTGTACCAGGCCGGGAGTGCCAAGAGCCTTGGGTGTGCTGAAGCCAGGGATCAGCAGTGGTGGAGGAGGAGCTGCCTGGAGCAGCCTTGGGTGTGAGTCTAATCCCTGACCAGCAGAGCCAGGCAAGCACTGGTCCAGTGGCAGAGCTGGGGTTTTCCCAGTAATGCTCTCTCCCTTGCAGGAGATAATTTACTGTGGTGACAGCTGAGCTCTGCCATTAGAACTGGTGCCTGCCATAATGGAAATCCAGGTGGAATGCTGCCAGCTCCCTGAATCTTCTAAAAACCTTACAGAATTTCTCTGCCTGTGTGCCCACTTAGTTAAAATACATCTGAAGGGTTTGGATTTGCCTGATGTCTCTCCCCTACTGGTTTTAAAATGGTTTCATTTGTGCTTTAAGCCATGCAGTCAATATCACCAGCACTGCAGGGAACTGTAGGGAGTTTGCTGAGGGTCTTTTCCACTTCAGTCAGAATGGCTCCTTTTCTGTAAATTGTGATTTTCTGTAAATTGGAAGAAAAGTCATTTTCATTTCCCCTTTTGTATTTAGTGAGTGTCTAACCAATGCATTGCAATTTCTTGTTTATTTTTGTATTTTTCAAAGAAACACCACAGGTAATCCAGTCTTTTTTTCCTATGTATCAACAAGAGGTAAGTGAATTTGACAGATGTGGCACATAATTTTGTTTTTCCCTTGTCTAGAGCAACCCTGAAATTGCAAAGAAATTGGCCACGTGTCCTTTCAACGCACGTCATCTGGTTCCTCAGGCTGAACTCAGCAACCACATCATGAACTGCAATGACAAAGCCTTCGTGGAGCAAGATGTGGGTAAGAGACCCCCTGTGCACCCTGGGGACTGAGGTGTCCTCGTGGAGTAACCCAAAAGTGGGAGGCAAATGGTTGTCTGTAGTTTTGTGTGACACAGTAGCTTTGGGGAAACTTGACCCGATTTGCTTGGCTTTATTGGGCAGTTTCTTGAGAATATGGCAGATGCTCTGGGTAGTCTTTGCATGTGTTTTGTTACCAGGCTTGTTGAATGGAAAGGTTTTACCCAAAACCATACAAGAAGTGCCTCTGGAAGGAGGAGTGGGATGCATTAATGGCCACAAGGAAGGGCTGCTCCTCTTGCAGAGCTGATCTCCCTTTGACTCTTGCACACCACAGGGCACACAGTTTTCTGTCTTCTGTAGAGGTGCACAGGCACTGGTGCCTGCATCCATGTCAGCAGGTTTTCTCTTCACTCCAGAATTCTGCTCAGAGTTCCAGGGAGCAGAGTCTTCTCTTTTTCATTGAAAAAAAGCAAACTTGAAGTTCCTTCATTTCAGCTGTCCCCAACCTGTTTGCTTTGGGTGGGGCTTGCTCTAAAGCCCAGAGCTGTTTTGCAGCTTTACCAAAGTGTTTAATGTATTTAAGGACTGATGGTCACTGTGTTTTCTCTCTTCCTGAAGTGAGCCGGTCCTGTGAGTCCCCACAGGAGCAGCTGAATAATGGGAGCACATGGCAGGCACCTCCATGTGCTGAAGACTGGGAAACAGGTGAGGAACTTGCCCATCTGCTGCCTTCTTCCTGGCCCTGTCCTCCAGCTCCTCTGGGGACAGAGTGAGGCCAGGAGTGCTCAGGGCTGCCTTGTAGGACACTGCTTGTGCACCTTCATATGAACATGGATCTCTGCACCCAGCAGGCTTGGCTTGGTATAAAGAACAATCCAAAATTCCTGCCAGAATGAGCATGGGAAGAGATTTCCAAGCATCCCTTCCTCCCATAAGAGCTTTTGTACCTTATGTGTGGTGATAGCGATGGAAACATGTTCCTCAGTGAAGCAGACACATTCCTCATAGGTCAGCTTTTCCTCCCTCTTGAACCTGTGAAAATATGACAGAGATATTTCTGATCATAGAATCCCTGAATGGTTTGGCTGGGATGGCACCTTAAAGTTCATCTCATTCCTTGAGCAGGGACACCTTCCACTGTCCCAGGCTGCTCCAAGCCCCATCCAGCCTGGCCTTGGACACTTCCAGGGATCCAGGGGCAGCCACAGCTGCTCTGGGCACCCTGTGCCAGGGCCTGCCCACCTTGCCAGGGAACAATTCCTAATTCCCAATATCCCATCTGTCCCTGCCCTCTGGCAGTGGGAAGCCATTTAAGCCACTGATCTGATGGTGGTTTCTGGGGTTTCTTAGTTCTGAGACACATCTGCTTTCTTCACAGACTTGCTGGAGGGATCTGAGTCTACTTTTGTGTGGGGTGTGATCAACTCCACCATGAACAGGTAGGTAATGCAAGTTTGCTTTTTTACATCAGTGTATGTTTATACAAATATTGCAGCCATCACCCTGCCTTACCTCGATGGCTGGACAGCTGCCTTTGCTGCTGTACAAGCCTGGGAGGAGAGATGCTGCTGGTTCAGTGTAACCTGCTTCCTCATATGGCCTGGGCCAGAGCAGGAAACCCTCAGGAGCACTGATACTGCTCCTGTGTGCCTGTTGCAGGCTGTCCTTCCTGCCCATGGCCTGTGTTCAGGGATTGATGGATGTCAGGGCAATGTGCAGGGACAAAGGTGATCCCTGTGACTCCTTGGGAGATCCCTTGTGAGCTCCTGCCTCCTGGGGCCTGGCAGATGTGCTGAAATTGGGCCCTGTGTCAGCAGAATCGTCCCCTCGTGCCCTTTCCAAAGTGTGGTAAGAGTTTGGGGCAGGGGGAACAAGGAGCTCAGTGCCCAGCTGTGAACAGGAAGGGGCTGCCCTGGCTGGCTAGGGGATGAGGTGGCACCACCAGAGCTCTCCAAGGTGTTTTAAGGTTTATTTAATAGGTTCATTTATGGTCCAGCAATAATCCTGCCCCTGGTAGCTCTGAGTTCTGTGTGAGCTCTTCCTAGGGTCTGACAGCAGCACTGCCTGGTTCCTGTCAGACTCTTTACCAAACCTTTGAGTGTTCGGAGCACATCCAGCTCTCCTCAGCACCACCAGCATGGTGGCACAGCACCATCCCCCAGGGCCTTGCTGCAGCAAAATGCATAAATGTGAGCCAGAAGTAACCAAAGTCACTTAATTGCAGCACCATCAGTGACCAGAACAACTCCTTGCCCTCGCGGATGCGGCCCCCTGAGACCCTCCCGTACAGCGTGTCTGCAGGCCTGTGAGTACTGAGCACGGGGCTGAGGCAGCCAGGCTAGAGCTGGGACAGCTCCTGAAACCTCTGGCTGTAGCAGCACTTTGTGGCTCCCACTGCATGGACAGGAGGGGCTGTATGGAACAGCTGCTTCTTAGAGAGCAGCTTCTGAGGGAATCTGCTGCTGGAATCATCCTCTGTGTCCTTCTTTTGAGGCATCCTCTCTGTGCTTTCCTTGCTCCGTTCCTGTGACCCAGGTTAGGCAGGGCTGTTTCCTGGCCACATTGGCTCTGTCTCTCTAAACCCACTGTTCCACAGCATCCCCATTATCCCCTTTCACCCCCCACCCTGCCCCTGACTTAAACCAAATTGTTCCTTTGCTTTGTGCTCCGTTCACTGTCAGGCCCAGCTAAGTCAAAGCTGAGGTGAAACAGGGTCCTTAAATCAGCACCCCTGGGGGAAGGAGTTATCAAATTCCATCTGGGGGAGGGAGAGAAGGAGCTCCCCATGGGGAAGTGTCTAATGCTGAAATCAAAGACTTCTATTTGCCTTTAGCAGCAAAGCAACAGCTTAAAGATGCTTTGAGGAATGATTGTCCTGGTTCCCACTGGGAGCAGCTAAACCTGGCTCTCAGGGCACTGCAGACACAGCTCCTGCACAGCCAGGGACTGTGCAATTGCCACAGCGTTGGGCTGAATCTGGCAAACCAAACTGAAATGTCAGTTGTAGACAAGCCTTGTTGCCAAGGGGACAGGTGCTGCCCCTGCAGAGGCCACTGTCCCTTGGGAGAGTGGGGGAAGTTGTTGTTATCTTTGTCCCTCTCATGCAAAAATTGTATCTTGTCCTTTCCAGAATTCGGAGTATTAGTTCCTCCCCATGGAACTTAGTTTTACCCCAGCAGTAAGTGTCTCCCTGGTTTGGACAGATGAGCTGCTGCAGAAGACAGACATGCTCTGGACCTGATGGCAGGACTCTCTACACCTGGCTTTTGTTGCAGAATATATTTCTTGTAATGTTTGAATATGTGGAACTGTCCTTGGTTGGCAGATGTTTCCCCCAACCACCTGTTTTAAAAGTTACCCTCACCTTTACTTGGTGAATTTTGTTACTGTTTTTGAAAAAATAAACTGATAAATGTACACAGAAACCTTCCCAGCCCAGCCCTTGGTCATGGTGGCTCCCTGTGAACAGGAAAAACATCATAATTGCCAAGTCTCTGTTTTTTGTAACAGGCAAACTTAGAAGTATTTTACTGTGCATGCACATTTTGTTTTTATTTTGTTGGAGTCTGAGTTTGTCCACTCAGGTGGACATACTCAGGTATGGCAAGTGTTCAAGTTGGGTTTTAAACTGTTGCCATTTGCAGAGACTGCTTTGAGAGCATCCTGACCTTAACTTTTGCACCTTCACACCTTAGGCCTCGCCTTTGTCACCTTAGGCCTCGCCTTTGTCACCTTAGGCCTCGCCTTTGTCACCTTAGGCCTCGCCTTTGTCACCTTAGGCCTCGCCTTTGTCACCTTAGGCCTCGCCTTTGTCACCTTAGGCCTCGCCTTTGTCTCCTGTGTGTGAGGGACTTCCCCAGGCAGACCTTAACAGAGAATCCTCTGCAAGTTCCTTGATCACACACAACTCCAAACGGGAAGTTTCAGGAGGACCCTGAGGTGCTTTTCCAGTTTCCATTAGAGTTTTGCAATTTTCTAATGCTTGAAACATGTTTGAGAGCTCTCAGCTACCTGTTCTGTATTGGGGGAGGAAGGGAGTAGGAATGGTTTAAATCAGTAAAAATGCATGTTTAGGACTGAAAATGTTCAGATCAAGCAGTTTATTTCTAAACATGCAAAGTGCAAAATGGGATCTAAATATACAACCATAAAGAATTAAGAAGCCAGACATAATGTGTGTCTAGAAAGAGATTAATGCCTTCATATTTTCCCCTAAAGACTGGATTTCCACCATCTGTATACTACTACTAGAAAATAATACATGTTAACAAGAATGTGCAAAATTAATATTCTTTTGAAGTTCTGTCAATTTTTTGCACCTTCACACCTTAGACCTCGCCTTTGTCACCTTAGGCCTCGCCTTTGTCACCTGTGTGTGAGGGACTTCCCCAGGCAGACCTTAACAGAGAATCCTCTGCAAGTTCCTTGATCACACACAACTCCAAACGGGAAGTTTCAGGAGGACCCTGAGGTGCTTTTCCAGTTTCCATTAGAGTTTTGCAATTTTCTAATGCTTGAAACATGTTTGAGAGCTCTCAGCTACCTGTTCTGTATTGGGGGAGGAAGGGAGTAGGAATGGTTTAAATCAGTAAAAATGCATGTTTAGGACTGAAAATGTTCAGATCAAGCAGTTTATTTCTAAACATGCAAAGTGCAAAATGGGATCTAAATATACAACCATAAAGAATTAAGAAGCCAGACATAATGTTTGTCTAGAAAGAGATTAATGCCTTCATATTTTCCCCTAAAGACTGGATTTCCACCATCTGTATACTACTACTAGAAAATAATACATGTTAACAAGAATGTGCAAAATTAATATTCTTTTGAAGTTCTGTCAATTTATGTCAAGGTTCTTGTTAGCAATTTAGAATAAAATTGTTTTAAATGCCCTGAGATTGCTTTTCATTGGAGTCAAGTGCTGACATGGGAAGCTCTCCTTTTCACCTTCGTTTCTTTGGTGACAAACACCAGCTGTGATTGTTTCTGCTTGTGTTGTATTTGACACAGAATATTTTTTCAGGTGTGTCACAGGGCACCTCCATGCTGGTGAGGACTTTGCTGTGACATATCCTGGGTTCAATCCTCAGCCTCTTGTGCTGGCTGGGTCGTGCAGTGCCAGAGCCTTCACCCCATTCCCTGGAGGCTGCATGGCCTTGCCAGGAGCAGATGGGATGTAGAATCAAAATCACACACCATGCTGGAAGGGACCTTGAAGCCCATCCAGTGCCACCCCTGCTCAGGGCAGGGACACTTTCCACTGTCCCAGGGTGCTCCAAGTGCTGGCCAGCCTGGCCTTGGGCACTGCCAGGGATCCAGGGGCAGCTCAGGGTGCTCTGGGCACCCTGTGCCAGGGCCTCCCCACCCTCACAGGAGAGAATTTTTTCCTAACATTTAATCTAATCTCCCCTCTTCTAGTTAAAAACTGTTCCCCTTGTTCTATCACTGCCTGTGTAAGAAGTCCCTTTCCCTGTTTTTTTATAAGCCTTTAGGCACTGGAGGGGGCTCTGAGGTCTCCTGGGAGCCTTCTCTTCTCCAGGCTTTTTGGAATTCCAGGCTCTTTCTTGCTCCAAGGTCAGGGCGCATAAAACTCAGGAGTAGTTGTTTTTGAAGTCTCACTCTGAAGTTTATTATCCTTATCTATTACAAACTCACAAGATGTGAGCTCTCTAACAAGCTGAGAAAGTGAGGTAAAATGGTGTCTGTTCAAGGCTGTTTAAGTCCCAATTATCCAATAAACAGCTGACATCTATATTATTTATGTTTCTAACCCAATTATGATCACTTAAAACCCACAATGTGGACATCTTTCATCCAATTAGAGAAAATCACCCAGATCTTTGAAGAAGAAGAAAGAAGAAGGTGCAAAAAAGACATCTAATCCACACCCAAAATTCTCCGTCTTGGTTCCCATATATCACCATATACTAAAACCCCAAACCTAAGTTTTTCCACCCTGTAAGATCACACAATACCATCCAAACGACACACACACTGTTTCTGTGCTATCACTCAAATTTTGAAGCCTTTTCCAAGGTCTCAGGTCAAACAAGGTGTTTACTTGAGGGTTGGCACCCTTGAATTCAGAAAGCTCAAAGCTCTCAGCCATCAGAGCTCCAACAGGCAGCCCCAGCTCACTGTCCCTTGCCACCATTTCTCCCTTGTGCTCCATGAGCAGGGTGCACTCTCCTGTGCTGACCTCTATCCCTTGCCAAGTCCTGTTCCATCTGTGCCTTGGCTTTCCTGACCCCATCCCTACACACCTGATGCAGACATCCCATAATGGCTCAAGGCAGCAGGTCCCTTTCTCTGTGTCCGGCACAGCCCAGGGCTCTGACAATATTCCTGCCCTCTATTTCCAACTCCAGGATAATTTTCAGTCCTGATGGGTTTTAATTTCTACTGCCCCTTTCCAGAATGTTGATACGACTCTGATCCCTCTGATCCCCCTTCCTTTCTCTTCACCCTTTCCCCCCTTAAGCCAAGGCACAAAGATTTCCAAGAGGGGTGGAACAGGAGCCCAGTGATGCTGGGTGGGGGGGGGAAGAGGGAAACTCCATGCCAGGATTCCCTGGGACTGGGGACTCTCCATGCCGGGCAATTCCATGCCAGGATTCCCCGGGACTGGGGACTCTCCATGGCAGGCAATTTCATGCCAGGATTCCCCGGACTGGGGACTCTCCATGCCAGGGAGTTCCATGCCAGGATTCCCCTGGGGTGCAGGGCTTGCTCAAGGGGCTGGGGAGGGAAGAGCTCATCACCCACGGACCTTGGGGAGAGAAAGTGAGGCGGGAGCAGGCAGCTGACAGAGCTTTTCGCCTTACCCACAACACCTTCACCTTTCATGGCCCGTGAAGAGATCTTTTCCTCCCCCAGCTGAGACTTCCAGCCCTGGGCAGTGCTACCATGGGCTTCTGAAGGAGGTTGATTTTTAACACATCCCCTTGTGCTCAGACATTCCAGGGTTAACCTGATGAAGAGAGAACAGGGAGAGGCAGACACAGAGCAGGCTTTGGGCCAAGTACAAACATCCTCTGGTACTTACCTACACTTTCTTCCTTCTAAATTAATTCTGTCCCACCCAGTCATCATCTCTTATCACTCATTATCTCCCCCTCTATTCTGCACATACCTTACCCCCATTTCACTGGTTTTAAGTGCTCAAATACTGACTGGTTTAGTCTATTTGTTTAAAACCATTTCCCTCTCAGATTTAACCCCAGCCAGCAACTAAACATCACAGCTCTCTGCCACCTACGCAGGGAAATGTGGAAAAAAGTAAAACTCACAGCTTGAGATAAGAACAGTTTAATAATAATAATAAAAAAATTATGAGGGAGAAAGGGGGAGACATAAAACCCAAGACAGACAAGTGCTGGCCAGTACAGTTGTTCACCACCCTCTGACCATAAGAACAATTTAATAATAAAAAAAAAAATTATGAGGGAGAAAGGGGGAGACATAAAACCCAAGACAGACAAGTGCTGGCCAGTACAGTTGTTCACCACCCTCTGACCCCTCCCAGCCCATCATTCCCAGTTTATACACTCAGAATTATTCTCTGTGATGTGGAATATCCCTTTGGCCAGTTCAGGTCACCTGTCCTGGCCCTGCTCCCTCCCAGCTTCTTGAGCCTCTGCTCACCGGCAGAGCCTGGGAAACTGTAAAGTCCTTAATTTAAACACAAACCATTGGTGTGTTATCAACATTACTCCCATGCTGAATCCCAAACACAGGCCTGGGAACAGCTGCTGCGGAGAAAATTAACTCAATCCCAGGTGAAACCAGGACATAAAACCTTTCCTGGATTTCTCCCACTTGCTGAGTCACACTCACACACACTCCTGCAGCATCAGTCCCATTTCCAGCTGCTGCTCACAATGTCAAAGCCCCTCAGGGCCCACCCTGGACAGGACCCAGTGAAGCCCCATCCCAGCTCTGCCACGGGCTGGTCCCACCTCTGCATCAGGTTTACACATACAGCACTGCCAACTTTCTGCATTCTTTGCTGGGTGTTTTCTGATTTAATAAGTGTTTTGTAGCTCTGGGGACTGGAATTACTTCAAAACAGAACTGAAGAGCAAGAGGAAGATGATCCAACCCCTTGATCTCACATTTTAAATTCACAATCTCTTTATCAACAACAGCATTTTGCTCTCCAAGCTCTTCCTTGACTTCTCCCAATTAGAACCCCCTCACCTGCATCACTGCAGGTAGAGAGGAAGGTCTGGCTCCTCTCAGGCCCTAAGGGGGAGTGGGCAGAGCACAGCAGGGGCCTGGCTGTGCCCCCAGCTGCCCCCCACTCCTGTTCCACCACCAGCCCTGGGGCTGTCCCACCTGGCACATCCCACCAGCCTGACCAGTGAGGCCCAGCACAGGCTCCTGATCCTTCCAACCCCAGTGCAGTGGGGTCCATTTCCTGCTGTGACCCAAAGGGGAGCCCCCCACAGCAGCCCCATGGCACTCTCCCCTATCCACAGTGAAACAGGAGCTGGTCCTGCTTGTTTATTTTGGCCCCAACATGTTGGTGAAGGTAAAAAAAAACAACTTCATTTTGGTTGAAAAAAAGTCTTTATTCACAGAACATCACATGAATCGCGTCCCACCCTTGCTCCTTTATGTATAAAATACTGGTAAAACAAAGTTTTATTCCAGAGGCAAGTGAATTCCCACAGAGTGTCCTCCTGAGACCAGCTCACCCCAGAGCTGGAGCTCATGCCACAGTTTGGAAGCAGAAGGGAGGTGTTTGCTGACGAAGGAAACGCCACCAAGCTACAGCAGCAAAGCCACCAGGGCTCCAGCTCCAACTCATTTCCTTTGGCAGGGACCACAATCCCACCAGGGCTCCAGCTCATTTCCCACTGCATCCAAAGGGGAGATGCGGGGCTTGAAGGAACCACTCGTGCCCCTGCCATGTCCCACTGCCATGGAGGATTTTGGGTTTCATACAAACCACCTGAGATGCCCTTGGAATCTCTTTGGATTTACAGGCACCACAAACATGTCTGATGTCACATGTCCCCAAATCCAGCTCCCCAGGTGGCTCCTTCAAGCCCCATGTGTCACCTTTGGATGTCATGGGTAGCAAGGACACTTGGCTCACCAAGGAGAAATCAGCCTGTGCAAGGACAAGGAGACTCCAGAAGGCGAAATAAATCAACAGGAAAACATCTATTAAAATGGCAAGCTAGGCTCAGAAACAGAAGAAAAATCCAGTTCCAGGTGTCTTATGGCTCCTACCACAGCCCTAAAGGAGAGACTGGCCAGAGTCCCACCTTGGTGTAAGACAAACCCTGCTACCCCAGGTCACAACTACAGAAACTTTAAACAATGACAGCCTTTAACCCTAAACCCCAACACTGTAAAATCCAGGGAAATTGGATCAGTTCATCAGAACTGAGATTCCCCAGGGACCCCTTGCAAGTGCTCAGCTGGCCTCTCAAGGGCTGAATCCAAGGGCATTTCATATCCAAAATAAATTTCAGGCAAATTTGGATTTATGATTTCTATTACACAGCCAGACAGATGCTCCATCACTGCAGATTCCCTCTTTTCCTTTTAATTCCTTACTTCCTTGGGGTCAAGTGAAAACCAGCTCCATGGTTGCTTTGCTACAGTATTTCCTTGGAAAACCTGGACAAATGGGGAACTCCAAGAGCAGAAGACACTTGGAGAAATAGCAGAAAAGTATCAAACACATGGAGAAGCCCATGAACAGGGGCCACTGGTCACTCTGGGAGTATGGCTGGGCCCCACCAGCATTACCTTGTGTCACGGCCCATATTCCCTAAAATTCCTTCTAACAGTTATTAAAACCCTTTATCCAAGTTTACAACAGGCCACATATTGAAAGCAAAGCTCAATGCAGTCAGCAGAATGTAGAATTTGTGATTAGTTACTAATCCAGAGACCCACAACCATTCCAGACAGGAAACAGAAGGAATTGCCAGCACAAGGCCACATCATCTGGATATGACCCATCTGTGCCACTGTCAGACATCAGGGAATGCTCCAGACTTGCTACACATGGGGATAGGAACAGATCTGCAGGGTGATTGAAATGGATGATGCCCAAAATGCCAGGATGGCCTCTCCATCAGACATCCCCAGGCTGCAGGGGAAGCAGTGCCAGGCTGAGATGAAGATCTCACAGCTCCAATGTTTCACTGGGACAGGGAATGAGCCCAAGGGGTTGAGTGTGAGCCAGCACGACCCCAGGAGGTGACACATCTGAGTGTCCTTCACAGGAACTCCACAGTGCAAAGGGTACCACAGGAATGCCCTTCCCAAGGGTGGGGACGTCTCCATTCCAAGGCACAGACTTGAGGAAACTCTCCTGACCAAGCTGATTTCCAGTGCCAGGGCCTGTTGTGCCAATCCCACCATTCCTCTGGTGTGAAGAACCTGTTCCAGCTCTGTGAACAATCCCACACCTCCAGGGAGTACAGGGGGACTCACCTGCTCCGTCCACTCAGTAGTTCCAGCTCCAGAGCCCCAAACCCAACCAGCACCTCAGGAAATGAACACAGCTCCCCAAACCTCTCTGCTCCAGCATTAGCAATGTCAGTTTTGGAGGCTGGATTTGGCAGGAGGCTCAGGGAGATGCCACAGGCCTGACGTGCATCAGTGGAAGCAGGAGGGAGCGTGGCGCTGAGCACCCCCTGGGGAGCAGCAGGGCAGAGAGAGGCACCAGAACATCCCTCAGATGAGCAGAGCAGCATTTCACCCTAAACCAGAGAGATCTGTGCTGGGTAATACTGTGAGTGAAGTTAACTCAGGTCATAACCGTGTTTTAAGACTCTTCCCCACACATCTTCCTCCTCCAAGCAAATGGAACAGCAGATGGGAGCCCTTCACTTCCCAACTCTTTTTGCACACTCAGTCCCACAGGCTGAACTCAGGCCCATGAACACTGTGAAATTCTCTGGGCTATTCTTGCACTGCAAAATGCAGGGGGTAAGGTCAGTGCTGGCCAGTAAACACTTGAAGCATCCTAGACTGTGCCTTTGCATCCTCCCATCCCTGTGTGCCCAAAGGGACATTCCTGCCTTCCTACAGCTGGGCACAACGTTCACTTCTGCTTCCTGTTAACCAGACCTTTAAACCTGCAGGCTTGAGGGGAGAGAGTAAAGGCCAGGGCTTATTTTCACAGGGCCATTCTCAAGCACGGCATTCCCAGACACATCCATTTCCAGACACATCCATTTCCCGATGTGCCTTCCACTTGACACTGTCCTAGTAGGATTTGTAAACTCTGAAGTCCACGGGAAGGGCTCATCCAAAGCAGCACCCAGAGGAAATTCAGTTCTGGAGACAGTCCTCTTGCAGGAGGTCAGCAGCTCATGTCAGGTACTGCACGACAAGGAACATGATGAGGCAGGTGACAGCCATGCCCCCCAGCATGAGGAACTTGTCCTGGAAGGCGCGCTTCTCGATCAGCCGCATCACCGTGTTGGACATCCCCAGCATGTTGGCAACGTCCAGGATCTTCTTGTGAGTGCCCTGAGGACAACACAGCAAAGACACAATCACCCTCATGCTCTGAGTCTTCTTATTCCACAACCCAGAGTATTTCATCATGGGGGGTGAGTGATGGATTCTAACTTCCGTCAGCCAACCATCCCTATCATTCCACAGGAGGTGGCCATGGGACCCTGGAAACAACTGGGTGTTTGGACTAATTAATTCATACACATGAACAGGAATGTGGTTAAAGACACAAAACAATCTGTCTGGAGAGAGACAAGATAAAAAGTGTCTCAGAAAAATGCACTCCTTTGGGAGGAGTAAAAGTTCTGCTGGTCCTGTTCCAGTCACAGTCTAAGAGCTCCGACCAGCCAAGGTTTTGTGCAGAGCTCCCCCTGCTAAAGTACAGTTCATACCAACAGAGACTGAGCAGGTGCAGACACTTGCAAGGTAAATAGGAGAAAAAAGGCAGATAAACGTGTAATTAATGCCCTTCCCTGAAATCCTTCCACAGGAAAGCGCAGGGTGCTGCAGGCAGCACACTTGGTATTATTAGGAATATGGATTCCACCAATACATCAGCAGCAGGGACACAACAGGAACCCTCCTGCTTTATTTCAGGGCAGTGGTTGGAGGAAACAGTATGAAATACAGGCACAGAGATGTGCTCCAGGCACAGGTCAGGGTGGGACATTGCCCTGAGAGGGAAGAAGGGAGAGGACTCAGGGCTGCGGAGTCCTGATGGCACAGGAGGTGAGAAGGACCCTTGAGGAAAGCTGGACACAGTGACCCACCCGTGGGCAGGCAGAGCACTGAGCCACAGCCAGACACTGGCCAGGACCCTCCTCACACCCACCTGTGCACAGGGCAACTGCCAGGAGGGACCCTGCCACACCAGGGACAATGGAGAGTCCCTCAGGGTGATACCTGGGCTGTCCCTGAGAGAACAGACCACTTCAGGATGCTGTAACACTGCCTTCATCTCTGAGCCAGGTCAACAGGACAGATTCCCATCACAGTGCTGAACCCCATGCTTTGACTTTGAAATAAAAACTTCAGCCTCTCTTCTTTAGTCCACATTATTTTTGGTCTCAAAAGAGTGAAAATTGGCAATTTTTTTGAGTATAAATCTGACTCAAGATCAGGAAGGCTCTCCAAGGGCAGAATTTAGACCAACTATATTAGACCCACATGCAGAAGTTTCTCAGTCCACAAAACAAAGATTTGCAATGCCAAACTACATCATCAGTGTCTTGTGTTCCAGGCAGTTCAGGCCCTCCACTGAAGTCAGGTTATGTCTCTGCTAGTCCCGTGTAATCCATTTTCTCCAGTTCCCACAGCTCCTATTAACCCCCTGCACACTGCTCTCAGGCTCAGCACCTCCCTGTCTCTGCAGAATCCTTTCACAGTGCTTCAGAACAAAACCAAACTTGCTGGGAGAACAGAAACCAAATATGAAGCTTTAAAATGAAAGCAAACAATAGAAAGGGAAAACTCTAATTCTTGCAGTCATGGAACAGTGGAATTGCACAACTGGATCAGTCAAAGGGACAATCTAGGAATACTCATTTCATACCTGCCCATTTATACCCAATGTACACAAAGTTACAGAGAATAAAGCTATTAGTGTCCAAAGAAGGGACCTGAAGATGATGAAGGGTGTGGAGGTGAAGCCACAGGAGGAGCAGCTGAGGTCACTTGTTCAGCTGGAGCAGAGGGGACTGAGGTCAGACCTCCCTGGGGGCTGCAGCTCCTGAGGAGCAGCTCCAATCTCTGCTCTGGGACAGGACAGGAGCCAGGGAATGGCTGGGGCTGGGCATGGGGAGGGTTGGGTTGGATATCAGGAAAAGAGTCTTCCTGAAGTGGGTGCTGGGCACTGCCCAGGCTCCCCAGGCAATGGTCATTCCTGGAGGCTGCCAGAGCTCCAGGAGCATTTGGACAATGCTCCCAGGGATGCACAGGGTGGGATTGCTGGGGTGTCTGCAGGGCCAGGAGTTGGACTGGATGATCCTTGGGAGGCCCTCCCAACATGGAATATTCCATGATTACACACTAACCCATTTCTCTTTGTAAGCTGTCTCTACACCAGCTGCTTCTGCCAGATGTTCTCAGGCAACAAAGTCTGTGTTAGTGCAAGAAAAGCTGAGTTAAGGGGAAAAGGAACATGAGCAGACATTTCCTCACCTGCAAGGGAGAAGCAACATCCCCCTGAACACCCAGGAACGTGATGGCCCCGAAAGCACAGCCTGTGTGTACCAGCAGCCATGGACAGACACTCAGCAATTCCCTGCTGCAGGGCTGGCCCAGAGCTCACGTGCCTGGCAAAGGCTGGAGAAGAGCCAGGAGGCCCAGGGAGACCCAGCAGGAACCAGGCAGTCACTGCCAGCCAGCCAGCAAAAACAGCCACACGGGACTGGTGCTGCTACAAGAAACAGCATTTCCTCATCCCTGCAGGGCACCAGGTCCTGCCAGGGCTCCTCTATGGTACTCTCCTGTGGTGGGATACACCTTCTTCTCAGGAACCCTCCAGAATCCATGTGCTTCATCCAGTCCCTCATGAGAGATTACCTTGGATCACTGATTTCCCAGCTTGGAGAATCAACTCCAATTCCCTGCGTGCAGCACAGGGACACTGATGATTGGATGCTCCAGGCCAATGTCATCAGCCACCAAAGCAACCCAGTGCTCAACACGATGGACAAAGGTCTACAATCCTCTCAGGGATGCAGGGACTTCAAGAAAGGTGCTCTTTTCAAAAAGCATTCACAACACCAATCTTCTCCAGGCACTAGTAATGAGTCCTTCCAGCCTTTTCCTCATGAGCTGGCAGCAGAACCTCTCCCTCTCCCTACCACTCCTGTGGCCAGACTGCTCAGCAACACCATTCCTCTGCAATGAACACTGAACTTCAGTGTTTTTCCTCTTCAGGGCTTTTCTAGTAATGGACCTTGTCTTAAATCCATTCTCACCAGGTCAGTGAACAAGTGACCTGAACTAAAGCTAAACCTCATCTTGGAAAGAACTCAGCTTCAAACTCCGCTTTAATGTCTCTGTGAAAGACCTGTGGGTGCAGGTCCTGGTCACCAGAGCAGGGAGCCGAGAAGGAGCTGCAGCCCTGTTTTGGACCTGTGCTGGTCCTGTGCAGGGCTCAAGGAACACCAGGCAGCCTGGAACCCTGGGACCAGGACAGCAAAGTGCCCGTGCACAGCCAGCTCAGCTCCTCGAGTGCAGACCAGGCACTGAGCTGCAGGTGTGACAGACCTGACCAAACCTGGGGTTTGTGTCATTAAAAATGCCTAAATCTGGCAAATACATCCCAAAACAAAGCAGTGTCACAAAACTGAGAACAGCAGTTACCCCCATCTGAAGATGAATACAACAGGTATTTCCCTACATTTTTCACAAGTCCAGTTTCTCCCCACACACTTCTTATTAAAAGGTTTTTTGTATCCTTGAGCTTTTCACTCAGAATGGATCATCACTTTGAACAGTCTGTAAAATAAAAGGCAAGTATTTGCTATGAAGAGACTGCAGAAATGCAGCTGTTATCAGCAGGGAAGGAGTGACTGTTGAGGTGCATTATCTTTATTACTAATCTTAATCACAGGTGCTCTACAGCAGCTTTGTGGCTGCTGTGAGTGATGCTAATCTGATCCAACATGTCCCTGCCAGCCACTTACTGCCCCTCCTGAACCTGAACAAACAAACAACAATCAACCAAAGAAAAACAAACATAACATTCAGCACTGCTGCCCTGCAGGTGAAGGCCAGCCAGCCCCAAGAGATCTTAAAGGTATTCCTAATAGGATGGTAAAATGTAAAGATTTCAAGTGTTTAAATGAAATTAGGGCCTTTCCAGCATCCTCAGCAATGTACTGAAACAACATATATATTGATTTTACTTAGCCTGATGAGCATGAAGACAGAAAAATGTGGGGTCTTTCTGGTAAAAAATGATGCCCCCACCTTTAATGTGACTCTCTGGTCCCTCAGCCCCGCCAGGATGTTGGTGCCACTGCCAATAAGCTCATCCATGCCTCGGTGGGCACTCTGCAGGGATTCATTAAACTGCAAGGTTTCGTCGATCGGGATGGTGGTGTCAGAGTCCTGTGGGGAAAGCAGGGACTCGGTTACCTGCTCACTCACAAACACAACAAGCACCAGCAGACACGGCCAGAACCCAACAGGACTGCCGGGACTCTGCTTACACTTTTTTTTTTCATAATGATTTTAAATACAACACTGATTTAAAAAAGAGTCATTTAGAGAAGATAGGGAGGAAGCCGAAAGGCAAAGCTGAGCAGCTGCTCAACTGTAATGAGATCTCAAGGATGAAAAGAGCAAAAGCAGATAATTTTTGTAATCTCAGTATGAAAAGGTACTGCAGGAGAGAGCATCAAAGCTGACAGAAGGTGTTTAACAAGGTGTCAAACACCAAGAAGGTGCTTAGTCATTGATCACTGCAAATGAAAGACTTGTGGAAGATTTCACACCACATTTCTGAGCAACAAAAGGCCTGAAGAAATGTTGGGAGATGACATTCTAAACATTTACAAAATAGTGCAAATTTCTGGCAGTGAGGGCAAACAGACATGGGCCTGGTTCCCTGAGCTCTGGTTCACTCATCATCCAGGGCCCTATTAAAAAAAATTATTAAAATTAGTATTTTTCATGGTTTTTTTCCAGAAAAGATGCATTCACTCAACTAGGAACTGGGAATCTTGAAATGGAAATAACAGGGTAAAACTCTAATCTGGACTGCACAGGAGGGCAGGGATGGGATCACTCCTGTCTGCCAGAGGCCTCCAGGTCGCTGTTTCTGGACACCACTCCACCCAGAGAGGGAAGGAAATGGCTCACTACCCCCACATGCTTTAGAGCAGGAACTGGGGCAAGTGTTGGGAACACTGTTCACCTGCTGCAGGTGCTCAGAACAAGAACCACCCAAAGGCAGAATTCACAGTCATGTGAATAAGAGGCACTCGGTGTGCCCAGCAGCTGCAGGTGACGCACAGGTACAGCACAATGTGCTCTGAACACTCTTTGGTAAAAACCCCAAATGTTCATCTGAAAATGCCAGTAGGAGCCAAGGCCTGGTGTTGCCCTGCCTGGACAAGGGCTCTGCTCACTGTGGAGAAGGAAGAAGCAGGGACAGAGCTCTCAGGGGTCCTGGATGAAGGGGCTGTGGCAGAACACACAAACCTGGGCCCCTGTGAACACAGCACCAAGGCTCACACAAGTGTCTGAGCAGAAGTACTTAGATTTCCATGTGAATGGCTCTTATTCCAGATACTTAACAATCTTCAAACCAGCAGATTTCATTTCTGTACAAGGTTTTTTTTATCCACTATAAGGCAGCAATAAAAACAGAGAAGTAGATTTGTGACCCCCCACAAGGAGATGGAATGGCACCAGAGATGGGATGGCACCAGAGCTCTGTTTTGCTGCCTGTGATTTTATCCAGGTACAAGGAAAGGCTTTAAAGATAAAGACCATTTTTAACTTTTGAATTAAGCAAACTGTTCAGAACACTGCTACAGCTAGGTTCCAAAAGGTGTTCTGGATGGAACTGGTGTTCCAGTGACTTACTCACACACTCAGCTGACATCTCTGATAGAATAGGGGAGCATATGAATAGGAACTATGGAAAACTAGCTATGTTCCAAAAGGTGTTCTGGATGTTCCAGTGACTTACACACTCAGCTGACATCTCTGATAGAATAGGGGAGCATATGAATAGGAACTGTGGAAAACTGTACCCAAGAGAGGCTGATAACTGATAAATAAATCATCATTTTCCTATTAAAGGATCATTTAAAAGCCACATTTTTGCAGCAAGCTAAAAAGAAATACGAAGTAATTGTGTATTTTTTTTTTCATCTACCATACCTTTCATCATCTGAAGGAGAAAATAACCCATTTGCTCTGTATTTTGTATCCGTAGGCCTGTTACTGCTTTTAAAAACTGTTCCACTCACATATCTTTTGTTTCTGAACAGCAAATTTTCCTGTAGGAAAACTTCCCACTGTGGTGGGAAACACCACAGTGTTTAAAAACAACAGCTTGCAGTGTTTTCTTCAAGCCTTGTTTATAATTTTGAAATAGCCAACAAAACACCAGACATTATCTTTATGTCAGGCTTTGAGAAATGCATCGAACTGCCCAAATCTCAGTTAATTAGGATTGCTGACATGGTTTCTTTCTTGTCCTGACAATGACTGACAAAATGTTAGGTGAGATGCCTTTAACAAAGAAAAGAAATAAAGAGGAAAGTCAAACAAAAATGTAAAAATAGTATTAAAAAGCCAAAAACAAACCAAAACAAAAAGCAAACAAACAAAATTTTAAAAAAAACCACCCCATAAAACCCAAGACTAACTTTTCAGTTGCAGAAAGCTGAAATCTGAAAGCACGCCTACATTATTCAGAGCAAAACTCCCCCAGCAATTTGCACTGAGGGGACTTCCCAATGGAGGAACTAACAAGAACAACTGGACCACATTCATGTTATTACAAACTTTTGACTCATTTCTAGGCAAAAAGCAAGGGCTTTGACGCAGCTGTGTGATTTGTGTTTGGCTACGCTGAAGTTTGCTGACACCTGCTGCCAGCAGGGTGTGTAACAGGCAGGCTTTTCCCAGATCTCAGGATCTGGCAGACATCTGACACAAATCCAAGTGAAATGTAACTTTGGTACCGACCTCACTGACCCTTTTACAACTGCTATGTAAATCCAGGAGCATTGCACTGCATAAAACAGGAAGAGCAGATTCTGGAGCCTTTTCCTGCTGCCTTAAGAGCCCAGCTTTTCCTCACGAGAGCTGTACTTTCTCCCCACATATTTTGATTCCTCTCTACCTTCACTCAAACTCCCAGCAGCTTCCAACAATCCTGTTTTCAGGCTGCCTGCCTCCCCCCTGCTGGATTTGAGCTGCTGGAGCACAGAAAGCCCCAGCAGGGATATTTACGTTGGTGGTGAAGGTGCGGGCTAGCAGCTCCTCGCGCTGCCGCTCCTGCTGCTCCCGCAGGTACCGGCGGTGCTGGAAGTTCCTCAGGGCTGTCTGCAGGTGCTGCACGTCGTATTTCAGCTGGTCCACTCGCCTGCAAAAGAGCAGCAGCACAAAAACACTCTGCTTTTCTGAAGACTCTGCTTTTCTGGTGCTTTTTGTACCAGCAGAGGAGCATCATTAATTAACAGCAATGAATAACAAGGAACAATGGGTTCTGCTTCTCTACAAGACGCAGGACATCCAATGCTAGGCTGAAATTCCACACCTACATCCTCACTGTCTCATTTTTCTACTACACAGGTGATTATTTCATGGGTGATTATTCATTTTAATCAATTATTTAGACTCCAGGCTAATGACAGAATGTGAAGCAGAACTCCTGATCTGTCTTGGACATCCCATCCCATGGATTGTCTCTTCAGGTGTTACAGAACTGTATCCATTTCTAATTTAACACAGATTTGGAAGATGGTAGGATTTGTACAGGTTCTATTTTATGACCCTCCCCCTTCACAAAAAAGACGATGCTTTCCAGTTTCTTTAATTAGCATCACGTTCTGAAGTTTGAGGTTTTATTAAAAGGAGCTCAAAAGTCAGTGGGTATTACAGGAGACATCTCAGACATCTCCACTGGGCTGAAACAAATCATGTCCAGAACTCCGCTGGCCCTGATTAAATGATTGATAAAATTTAATGTTTGATCACCAGACTACCCTGGTCTAGTGGAAGGTGTTCTGCCCATGGCAGGGGTTGGAACTGATCTTTAAGGCCCCTTCCAACCCAAACCATTCCAGGATTCTACAAAGAAATCAATGATTATTTCAGATACTGGCCTCTTTCTTTAATACAGGTGACATGAAATCTACTCCTACTATGTACAAGGGCTTTTCTAGACGAAACATTAATAATTCACAGAATAAGTCACAATAATAAGTCACAGAATTAATTAAGAACAGCAAGTCCTGATGTCTGTGGTCCAACCTCCTGTTCAAACCATTGCTCACTTTAAAACCTCTTTATTTCAGTCACCAACAGCCTGGAAAATGGCCCAGAGAAAATGACACCAAACGAAGGAATTTTACTCTCTACCTCCAAAATGCCATTAAAAGCAAGTGACAGAGAGAGCATCCAAGTGCATGTTCTGCTCATCTGAGAACAGAGCCATGAATCCAGATGCATCACCAGTCTGGACTTGATGATCTTTGAGGGCTTTTCCAGCTTCAATGATTCTCATGATCCTGGGGTTAAATGCAGGAAAGTGATTTTGCCTCTGTGCCTCAATTTTTCTACTGTAGAGCACAGAGATCAGTTAAGCAAAGTATAAAGATTTCACACAAATCAAAAGCAAAGGGCTTCAGTAATTTAATTAAAATAATTACAAAGACTACCCTGCACAATCACAGCAAAGCAGTGAACTCACAGTTTGGCACTCTGCCTCTTGTTGGGAGGTTCTTTGCTGGCCAGGATTTCCAGACGTTCCAAGTTGCTGAATATATTGTCTATTCTTGCCTGAATCTCATTTTCTACCACTGCAAGGAAATAAAAACAGGATTTGACTTGAATTAGACAACTGCAATCTGATGAAGGCAAATGCTCAAAAGCATTCAAAGCAATATGCAAAACCTCACAGATACAAATCTTTATGGATAAAAATAATCAGATAACTGAGAACTATAAATATAATGAATGTCAGTTCTTGAGCTCAGTAATTTGACACTCTCACCTTTTCCTCCTCCTCTGAGGAGGCAGCTAGGAAAGCCCCTGCTCATTCCAGACATCTGAGCTTCTTTCCCCATCAGCTCCCTGAATTAGGATTTCAAGCCCACACATTCCCCCTGCAGCCCCTTCCTGCTCCCTCAGCAGGATTTGCTGTCACAAGAACACAGAGAAGCATCATCACCCACCTGCCAACTACTCCACACACCAGAAGTGTGCCCAGAAAACCACTCAGCAGTACCCAGAGAAGCAAAGAGCACACACAACCTCATCTTTGGCCCTGGATCTCACACAGCCAAGGGCTGACTGCCTCACATCCAGAGACAAATCAATGAAATTGTTCTAATCCAGCTCTCCATCATTTACTGCAGCTGAATTCTACACAGGAGAGCTGACAGACAGTTACAGCAACTTTTGTCAGACCAAACTACACCACTGCACAATTTTCTGAGCAGGAAGGGACTATTTGCTCAAAGTTGGAAAAGGCAAACTGCAAGTTTAATGTCCTGGCCCCTATTCCTGCTCTTCAACCATGGATAACCCTGTTTTCCCTAAATTCTGAAATACACACTAGTAACTTTATAGACAGAGAAACAGATATATATATTTATTAATTTATTAACTATGCAAACTGGTGAACTGACTGTAAACTATGTAAACTACATAATCCTACCTCTTGAAATGGTCTCAAGCAATAGAAGCAAAATGGCAAATTATACTAATTTTGAGGACTTCCAAAATCACCCCCAGTGAACAACAGCATGGGAAGTCTGGCATTGCAGAAGGAGAAGTAAAACCACAACAAAAACCAAATTGCTATTTTTTGATAGGAAATTTATCACAGCCTTTCCTAGAGCCCAGTCATGTTTCACAAACATGTTTAACGTAAGAGAAGTCAGTGAACATGTGCAGAAATGCATCCAGCCAATGCAGTGTCCTTTCACCTCAGAAGTTCCTGATGAAACCCATCATTAGTGACTCATGCAGGAATTAAGAGTTCAAACACAGGTCCAAAATACATGTGCCAATTCTGCACTGGGGTAAAAAGTCCTGCCACACATATCAGAGCATCTTATTATTACAGTCATTTATGAGCACAGGGTTATAGTCCAAATTTACTGAGGCTATTTCAGACCCAATGGTTCTATACACTTCCCATAAGCAGGTGGAATTACAGGTTCTGACTCTGATGTAGCAGGAATGTCAGGAGCATCCTTCTGAAGTTCCTGCACACAAAATCACAGCATTTTTCCCAAAACTGCACTGAGCATCCTTAGGGGAAAGCTGCCGGTTGGTGGATGCTGAGGGAATAACACTCAGCAGGGCAGGCTCAGTCACATCTCTCAGCTTTCTGACAAACCAGAGATGCTCTCAATCTGCACTTCTGTCCACACCAAGGTGTTCAAAAACCTCCATGAGTGCTTCTGTGTGGGGGTTTTGATCTATTTGTTCTGAAGGCTGCACAGACACCCTGACCATGAGCTCCAAAATCTAACAGCATCAAAAATCTGGCACTCTACCATGAGATTAAAGAAGCATCCACAGCAAGCACTCTCTGTCAGTTAAAGGATTATAACAGGAAGATGAAGCAAATTCTTGTCCTGTGTTTTCTGCTCTGTCCTCATACAAAACAGCACCTTACTGAAGTTAAACAGCAACACAATTTCAATGCATTCTGAATTGGTGACGTGTCTCAGCAGCTCATCACAATGGCTCAAGAGCTAAATTTGTTCAAATAATGACTGTAAATTTAATGAGAAGGCATACAAGGTTAAAGATGCAAACTAAATCAACCTCACTCATCACTTACAGTGCACTGACTCTTTGTCTGAAGTCTCCAGGTGCCCCATGTAAGACTGGACCTCATGGACCTGCCTGTCAGGACATAAAGAGAAAATGAAAGGAAAAGTCAGCTAACAGACACAAAATCATTTCTCAGCACCTCACTTTTCAGCTTCTTTTACTGAAATGCACTTTTTAGAGGAGCACAGGAATCAGCAACACAGTGTCAGAGCAGACAGCCCATCCCTGACCACCAACCCAGGTCCTCAGCAGGAAGCAAGCTGTGCTCTCACCTCATATGCATCTACAAAGTAATTTTATTTAAAAAGAGAAATCAAGGTGAAGGTTATGAAAAATGCAGATCAGCTTTTCTACAAGAAACAGCTGTTCAGCTTGGTCTGGAGATGACAATGGGAATGATTTTCATGGTCTCACATGTGAATTCACAGGCATCAACTGAAATTAAAAGCTTGTAATTATAAGAAAAAACTACTGTGGCTGGACAAGCAGTGGCATTGGAAAACAAACAAAAAAAAATTGATGGTTGTTAAATTCTTCTGGTACTAGATGGGCTTTAAGGTCCCTTCCAACCTGAACCATTCAATGATCACAAAATAAGGCAGGACAAAAACAGGAACAGGACAACATCAGTGCCCATACCCATAACAGCTGCTGTGACATTCCTGTGTTTCCAGATCTCCAGCAGGATGTCCTGCTCCTCCCTACTGGGTTGCTCTGTATCATTATTCAGCGACACAGAAATGATAATTCAATACCAGATTCAATTCAAGTCTTTTACCATCCCTCCTCCCTTAACAGAGCCCCACAAAATACAAATTACCAGGGAAATTTGGAATACTGGCTCAAATGTGCCCTTTGGCCCCCTTCCCGTGAGTTATTTCACATGGATTACCAACAGAACCGCGAGACTTTCTGTCTTATTTTGCAATTCCCACACCACTCCTCCCTCTCCAGACCGGCATTATCTGTGCAATGTGGGATTTATCCTCAAGCACCCACACGCCTCCAGAGGTGGTTTAAACTGCGGCAGCCGGACCCCTCAAACCCAGCTGTAAAACTCCTTATAAAGGGGCGTACATTAAATAAACCGACAGCAATGAGCGGCAATCACCGTTCCCGGTGCCCCGGGCCGGCCGAGCCCTCGGGGCTGACGTGGCACACGCGGTTCTGCCCCCTCCGGGATGGGGTTTCACGGGAAAACGCTTTTCAAGGGCGCCGAGATCCGTGGGGTGTCGGCCCCGGGATCCCGCACACCCCCGGGCTCACAGCCCCTGTTTGCGGGTCTGCCCTCGATCCTCCAGGCAAATGCTGGGTTGGCGGGACAGCCCGCACACACCCCGAGCCCTCACACCCCTCAGTCCCGCACACACCCCGAGCCCTCACACCCCTCAGTCCCTCACACACCCCGAGCCCTCACACCCCTCAGTCCCTCACACCCCTCAGTCCCGCACACACCCCGAGCCCTCACACCCCTCAATTCTTCACACCCCCCTCAACCCCTCACACTCCTCAATCCCTCACACCTCTCAACCCCTCACACACCCCTGAGTCCCTGACACTCCTCAATCCCTCACACACCTCTCAATCTCTCACACACCCCTCAGTCCCTCAGGCACTCGCTGGTTTGCCGGTACAGCCCCTCACACCCCTCAGTCCCTCACGCACTTGTTGGTTTGCTGGTACAGCCCCTCACACCCCTCAGTCCCTCACGCACTCGTTGGTTTGCCGGTACAGCCCCTCACACCCCTCAGTCCCTCACGCACTTGTTGGTTTGCCGGTACAGCCCCTCACACCCCTCAGTCCCTCACGCACTTGTTGGTTTGCTGGTACAGCCCCTCCATCCCGCACCGGCTCTACTCCGCACACGTCGCCTCCCGGCACTTCCGGCCCCGCCGCCTCTCGCTACTTCCGCTTCCGCCTCCCCCCGGGTCGCGGTCCCGCCTCTGCGCCCCGCGTGAGCGCCAGGGGGCGCTGCAGGACCGGCGTGGCGCGCGCGGGGCGGGGCCGTGAGGGGCCGTGAGGGGCCGGGAGCGGGCGGTCGTTCCCTCACGAAGCTTTGGTTGCTGTCTCCGTCGCCAGTGTCGGAAACAGCGGCTGCAGCCTCCCAGCACGGTCACATAAAAGGGTGTCAGCTGCGAGAGCCGCCTGGGGTAGCGGAACTGCAACTCCCGCGCGGAGCATGGAAGGGATTCAGTGCCACTGTCCCCTGCCATGGCAGGGACACCTTCCACTGTCCCAGGTGGCACCAAGCCCTGTCCAGCCTGGCCTTGGGCACTGCCAGGGATCCAGGGCAGCCACAGCTGCTCTGGGCACCCTGTGCCAGGGCCTGCCCACCCTCACACGGAACAATTTCTCCCCAGTGTCTCATCGCACCCTGCCCTCTGATGGAGGCTTTGAATTCCCCCGATGCTGAGCTGATTCTGCCCTTGTTTGGGTTTGTGCTGCCTGTCCCACCTGTGATGTGAAGGAAAACCTGCTTTATGAACAAGAATTATGTCTTAAACTGGGTCCATCCAGATAAAATGCTCAAATACTATTGAATAAAATTCACTGATTTAAATCCTAAACTTCCTTCAGCACCCTCAGCCCTGTCTTGCACTTGACTTAGGCAAAACCAAAATAACTGTATAGCAAAAATTCAGGCTACAAAGATGACAAACGTTGGAGGAAAAGTGAGAAAATATTTTCAGAGGTGGGGAAGCTGAAGGCAGACACCTCCTGATGTGAGACTGGGCAAATTGGGAAACCTGGGGGCTGGAACAGTCTCCAAAGTGTTGGGTTCTTTCTGTTGTTGCTCATTTGCAGTTCAGGGTGAGAACCTGAAGAATGCAGCCTTGTCACAGGAGAACACATCCCTGAGCACCACACAGATATAAAAGAGGGAAACAACAACACATCTTTAATTAATGAGAGATTCTGTCCCTGTGGGTCCGTCTCTTGTGTCTCAGATGATGCATCAAACTTAGTCTGCCCTGCCCTGCCACGCAGCCAGCCAGGCCTCTGGCAAGAGATTATCCCCTGGATGTCAAACAGCAACCCAAGCCCCAGAAATCACATCAGCCCAAGGATAAACAGCATATCAACAAAACCATTAACTGCAGCAGTAACAAACACATTTGCTCCTGTCCTTTGCTCCCCCTTCCCTGAGCCATTAGACCCCATTTTCAAACACTTCTGGAAATAGGTTGAATGGAAATAGACTCTGCGATTCCCTCCTGACCAAGGCTGTGAGAGGTATCACAGGAGCCCTGATGAAATGGCAAGCACTGAGACACAAGAACAGATTTCTGTTCTTTTGTGAAGAAATTGATTTTTGCCAGAAAGAACATGCTGCAACCCAGCGTCTGTACTTGTTAGACTTCAAGTCCTTCCAGGAGGAGTTCTTCAGCAAATTGGCTCATTTAGACACAACAGCCAGGAGCATGGAGAGGAAAAAAAAGCGTTTTGTTCAAGGAAAGCCTCTGTATTGTAAACAGGATAAAAGGGGATGGAGAGAGTCACTTATCACTGTCTCTCATGTCCCCAGGTCATTCCTGTGTAGAATCTACTGGAGAGAAAGGATTTCATATTCCCTGCTCTCCCAGAACCCCAACTGGGGGATTTTCTCTATCGCACAATCTGCAGACCCCGTGTGCATTCAGCAGCAGCTTTCAAACCCATTGCTGTTCCCATTGCTCTCCTCTGCCTGTGAAGCCTGGCAGCACCCAAGGGAGATCCTCACAGGGCCTCCTTTGCTCTTCCTGCTCCAGCCCATGTCCCCCTCACAGCCATGGCACTTGGGGTTCTCCCCAAAACCACTGATGCTCTGTTTAATATCAGACCCCAACAATGCATCTCTCCCTGTTTCTCTGAGCGCGATCCCATCAGGCACAGAAACTCTCTGCCCCCCTCCCTCTTTCTCTTCCCCCTCCCTCTCGTTTTGGGACACTCTTTGCATGCTTTGCTGATACAAATAACTGTGACTTTCAAAACAAAGGAGTGCCGAACCCCAGGGCATTCCGCCCGGGAGAGACGTTTGGATGAGTGCTTGATGGAGACTGCTGTGAGTCCAGCTGCAGGCCATGGGCTGCATGTCCCAGCTCTGACAGGCTCCCGGACACAAGGCAGACCTCACAGCACGCCTCTCAGCACTTCCAGCCTGGGGAAGGGGCAAAACGAGAAGGGGAGACATGACAAGAATGTTGGAGACTCATCTATCAAATTTCTCGGGCTCTTGGGTGATGTGGTGGACCCAGGCCTCCCTGGGCAAGGAGCTTTTTTAAAGACACATTGCACCTTCCTGCTCATCTTCCCAAATTAAGAACATTTCTGCACGACTGTCACAATCAGTTTTGAGACTGATCTGTGGACACGAGAGTCACAAATGCTCAGACCATCATTCCCTTCTGCATAAATATCCCAGGGAAAGGGATATGGAAATGTTGGGGAAGGCCAGGCCAAGGGAAGAAGGAGTCAAGGAGCATCTCTGCTATTTCACTCCCTCCCTCCCTTCTGTAATGAGGCAGGGAAATATGGCAGGAATAGGAATAAAAACAAAATATACCCAGTGGTGAGGAACGCTGCAGCATCCCCCAGCCTGAGGGATCTTTGAGACACAAATGGCTTGGAGGTTTGGGGAATATCCTGGGCAAGTGTATTTTCCTCATGCTTTCATCCTTCCCTGGTGGCAGCCACACAGGGCTGCTGAGGTGAAATACTGACCTTGATAGATTTTTGGTGCAGGCTCTGCATGGCTCTGTTAGTAGCCCCACACCTCCACTGCACTATAAATGTTATATTATCATAATAATGATTAAACACAACTCAGTTCTCCATGTAGGACTGAGTTCCTCGAGCCTTTTCCCTGCTGATCCTGCCTATTTGACCTTATCAAGGAAATTCAGGAAACAGGAGCAAAGAGCCTCCTCCAACAGAGTCAAGGAGGCAGAAGGGGCAAGTAATTACATTGCCTTCCCCAGACAGAGCACAAAAGAAATTCCAATAATCCTGCCACTACACCTTCCTTTTGCCCAGCATCAGGAACCTGCTAGGAGCCTCAGCTGCCTTCAATTGAAATGCATCCCCCCCTCAATTCCAAATCCCTCAGAAATCTCTGAGTTTTGGCCTTAAAATCTCTGGCTTTCAAAATCTTCTGAATTTATTTACTGGACAACCCTGTTTAATAATAATACATAATAAATTTATTATGGCAAATTCTGTCTGGGCACTCTTAACCCTGTACTGGATGCATAATGTAACACTTACATAGGAAAATCTTAAAATCTGTGAGCAATACCATGTGCCATTATCCTGATTTTTCCAGGGGTCAGTTCCCTGACAGTCAGTCTCTCTGAAGTGTGTCAGGTTAAGAATTCCATTGAAATTAGACAACATCATCAGCTGCTTTGAGAAATTTTTGGGGCAGATCTTTTATGTTCTCTTGCCCACTGAATAAGCAGCCATTTCCTGGGTCTAATTTTGGCAAACCAATCCGGATAACTGCAGTTCATTAGCTTAATAGGTTAATGCTAAACTGTTTCCCAAGTCAAATCTGGATGTCAATCTGCCTCATATTCAGATTTTGTCAATATAGGGGACCTTAAAATGGAAAAAAAAAAAAAGTGAAAATTGTTTTCATCTGTGTTTCATCCACGGGGTAATCCAGGCATGCGGAGCTGGCCGTGCCGGGTCCCTCTCCCCGTGTCTCCCGGCTGGCTGGGATGCTGCAGGGGCTGTGCTCTGTTTGTTGTTAAAGCAGCCTGACACAAAGAGGCCCCAGGAGCTTCATGCACCCACAGGATGGATGTCTGCTCCTGTCAATCCAGCCCGAGTCCCCCAAGAGGGAAAATGGGATTGTCTGCAGCAGTGAGGGGGAGAGTTCTCTCAAGCATGTCATAGAGGAATTTTCCTAAAACCTTCCCCAGTAATTTGAACAAAACCTTCCCAAGGCTCTTGTGTTAATGGAGACCAGGAGAAAGTGTGGGAATGGGATGGAGGCATAAAAGGTGGAATGCACCATTCAGTTGTGCCTGGCAGCTCCTGTGCCAGAGTCACAGAATCATGGAATCCCAGGAGGGTTTAGGTGGGAGGGAAACTCAAAGCCCATCCAGTGCCACCCCCTGCCATGTGCAGGGACACCTTCCACTGTCCCTTGTTGCTCCAAGCCCTGTCCAATCTGGCCTTGGACACTTCCAGGGATGGGGCAGCCACAGCCTCTCTGGATAGCCACTGTGGGTCCATAGTAGCCAGCCTGGTGTTGCTCAGTGTAACCACAGTGGGGTGGTGCTTTCCAGGCATTTCCCAAGGCCCAGGTAAGTCAGGTGCTCTGTGACAGGGGTCCCAGGAGTTTCTGATAGCCCAGGAAGCTCTGTACTGTGGTGACACTCAGGAATGCACAGCACAGTTGGAGGCAGGAATCCCTTTGGAGTGGATCTCTTTACCAAGCTTGCACACAGTGCCCAACACACGCCACTGAAGAGAAGATCCTACACTAGCACTGACTCTCCTGATGCTCTTACAAACCTTCTCCTCAGGAATTTAATTTTGCCATCTTTTCACAAGATGGTTTTGGTAACTGTGGCTGACATAAATCGTATTTCCTTGGAGCTGGAAAACACCTGCCAAGGGATGGAGAGGCAGATTGTGTCTCATGAGCTTTTATATTCCATAGGATTGAGGCTTCCATCAGAGGCTGAGGTTGGCAGTGGTTTGGCTCAGCTTCCTTGGCAGCAGGGCTGCATTAGGCACTGCTGCCACAGCTGGAGCTGCACATGTCCCTGGGACATGAGGTCACTCCTTGATGTGGTGGCATTTCCCCACCTGCAGGGACAGGGATGGTGCCACAGTGGGGGCTGGGAGTCTGCCTGTGTTGCAGATCTTATCTCCAGTGATTAGCTGGCCCTACCATAC